CTGCCTGTCTGTCTGACTGTCCCGTCTCATTCTGCCCTAGGCCACCAATGGTGGAGGGGCCTTCAGTGACTACTCCTCCTCTGTGCCCTCCACACCTAGCATCAGCCAGCGGGAGCTACGGATTGAGACCATTGCTGCCTCCAACACGCCCACCCCCATCCGCAAGCAGTCGAAGCGGCGCTCCAACATATTCACGGTAAGTGACACTGGGGTCGGAGGATCTTTGGGATGAGTTTTCTGAGGGTCAGGCAAGGAGAGGGGAAGGGAGCGGATCCGCAGCAGTCTCACCCCCCAGGCTTTCGTGCACTAGTCTCTAGGTGAACCTTGCTGTGCTGGCCAGGGAGGGGCGGGTGGCAGGGGACGCAGAGTGGGCGCCTGGGGGGTCTCCCCGCAGGAGTGTGCGTGCGCAGCAGGGAGGGAGGGAGCCTTCTGCGTGTGTAGGGACCATGGTGCTGAGAGCTGCTTCTGATGGGTGTGCGTGTGCATGGAGGAGCACCTGAGAGCAAGCCACTCCTTGCACACGTGGGAGTGTGCATGGGATACGTGCGTGTGTGTGTGAGCATGTACGTGAGCAGAGCTCCCTGATCTTCACTGGGGAGAGCTGCGCTTTGTGCGTGCACAGCACCAGTGACCTCTGCTGTTCCTCTCCTTGGGGCCCTGTCCCCCGAGCGTGGCACGAAGCCCCTGGTGACTGGGCCTCCTCTTTGGTGCCAGCCGTGCTGTGCAGAGCCCAGCATGTGGCACTGGGCCCCACTCGCTCCAGAACCCAAACCCCGCGTCTGTGTGACTTGAGCAGTGCGCCTGGGAACTGCTGTGGGGCCTGGAGGGAGGGGAGGCATTAGGGAGCCAGCGAAGCTGTGGGCCCCAGGTGGTGCAGGGTACGTTTGCAGCTATTTTCTCTGCTGGTTAAATTGCAGCCTGCCTCTCAGCACGCTCTCACACGACGCACACACCCGTCCACGCAGCGCGCACACAGTCCTGCCCACACACTCACCTTGCTGTTAGCGCAGCCCACGAGTTTCCCCTTGCTGTTAGCGCACACATACTCCTAGTCCCCATGTCTAGCGTAGATAGCCTCTGTTCCCCATGTAAATGTGCTCCTCTCCCCCTGGTGCCCCTGTAAATGTGCTGGGCTCAGGCCTCTGTCCTCCTCCCCATCTAAATGTGCTTTCCAGCCACCATTGCTAAGTACACCCGTGTCTGCTGTCTGTGGAACTGGCCACCACAAAGTCCTTGTATGTGTTGCACCATGTCACCCTCTGCGAACAGCTGCCATTGCTCTGGACCCAGACCACATAAACTCACGATGTCCCATGCCCCATCCCTCTCACTGCACTATTGGCATCCCAGATTCCCCTGACTCCTCATGCTGGGAGTGCACCCATCTTCCCCAGCTTCTGACATGCTGGAAGCATCTGCTCTGATGTCCTGAATGCTCCGTGCGCTCCCCACCATTTGCATCTCATACACCTCCCAGTTCTCTGCACGTGTTCCCAGCCCCTCCCCAGCACACGTGCTCGCCCCCGCTCCCTGCGCTGCCTGGCAGGTAGGCTGTCCCCCGCCAACCTCCTCCTCCCAGCACACACCGCCCTTTGCAGCGGATCCACTGCTCCTGACGCATGGTTGTTTCTTTACTAGCCCTCCCCTTCTCTGTGTGCTCACGCCTCCCTGAAGATGCCCTGTAGGTCTCCTGTTGTCGATGGTCATGCTTACTGTTGCACTTCAGTGCTGATGGATGCTTTTCCTCCCTCCCCGCCGTTTCTTTTGCTCATGCTTGCTGCTGTGCACCAGTGCACGTGGGCGCTCATGCACTGTCACCCATCCTTCTGCTCGCCTGCGTGCCGACGGGTTCTGGACTCGCCGTCAGCTCATGTTCACGCTCTCTCACTCCTCCTGGAGCCCCATGCTCAGCTCACTTGGTGTGGGCGAACGCTCGTGGCGGGAGGAGGAGGGCGGCTTGCTGTGGGGCTTACGCTTATTTGCTGTGGACGTCATCATCTGTCTAGGGCTCTCACTTGCTCGCTCATTCTGGGCTCAGGCTTGCTCACTCTCGCTGCGGGGCTCACCTGTGCTCATCCGGGCTCGCGCTCGCTCGCCGCGGTGCTGGGGCTCACGCTCACTTGCTTGCTCTTGTGCTGGTGCACATACATGGCTCACATTGAAGTCTTCACCCCATTTGGTTGTGGCAGCAGCAGCAGCTCCCGACACCTCCTCCCGCAGTGGGACAGGGCCAGGAAGAGCAGAGAAGGGAAGGGAAGGCTGTTTTTCTGCCACTGGCTTTTCCCGGGCAGGCAGCGTAGGTGTAGCCAGCAGCCCCCCGTCCTCGTGGTGTCTCCCAGGTGGGCACGGGCCTCTCCGAGGTCCAGCGTAGGGCAGGGCCGTGCTCCGCTCAGCTCTGGGAGCAGCTGCAGCCCCAGTCCCGAGCTGTGCCTGGCTCCTTCACGTCCAGTCCTCCTCCTCCTCCTCCTCCTCCT